ATATATATATATATATATATACATATATATATATATATATATATATATATATATATATATATCTGTTTATTACAAAAAATATTGTTTTGTGTTATTTTAATAATAAGTTTTTAATACCGGGTGCATAAGTAACATGTACATAAGCCCAGGTACATAATACCGAGTGCATAAGTAACATGTACATAAGCCCAGGTACATAATACCGGGTGCATAAGTAACATGTACATTAGCCGAGGTACATAAGTTTTTATATTCTCAAACTTTTTTATTCTGATTTCTAGCTCTACTTTTTCCTTTTTTTTGTCAGTGGCAATCTGGGAATTCTGGATATCAAAATTATTTTTATTCACATTGTTATTTTATTAAGTTAACCTAAATTTTTTTGTATTTTTTGAATAGAAAATGTCAGTCAAATATAAAACTAAATTTCAAAATCATTTGTTAAATGACAATAATTATAAACAATGGGTACAAAAATGTCCCAACAATTTGTATTCAATAAAATGTAAGGTATGTTTAAAAGTTATATTTGTTGCAGGTCTGGCTACAAAGCCATTGGAAAAACATGCTGATGGTAACAAACACAAACAAATGTATATCTGTCTGTGATAAATTTGCATTAAAAACTGTAGTAGAACCACCAGCTAGTCCAAAAGCGTCACTGTGTCCACATCAAACTTCTATTGTATTTATTATCGCAGTTTGCAAAGAAAGCAGAGATGTGGGCAGTTGATTTTGTACTTTCAAAATATTTTTTTCGATCAAGTGCAAACAAATCTGAATGTTTAGTGATAGTCAAATAGCTAAACAATTTTCTTGTGGGAAAACAAAGTCTACCTATCTTGTGTTCTTTGGAATTGTACCATATTTTAAGGAAATTTTGCCTGAGACTTTATCAGAGCTTGATCAGTTTGTTTGCCAATTTGATGAATCTTACAACCAAGTTGTCAAGAAGAGTCAGATGGATTTGCATGTTAGATATTGGGACTCCTTATTAGAGATGGTAAAAACAACATATTTCAAATCCGAATTCTTAGGAAAAGCTGCTGCTGTTGATATGATAAATTTCCGTAAATGTAAGAGTTGTTTAGAAGAAGATAAAATGCTCCAGATTTCCATGGATGGTCCAAATGTTAACATGTCTTTCCTTTCTAATTTGAATGCTAAGAGAAGTGAATGTGAACTTAGTCAGTTAGTATCAATGGGATCGTACGGCCTTCGCACAATCCACTGTTCATTAAAAAATGGTACAAATGCTTCAGAATGGAAACTAAACAAATTACTGTCTTCATTGTATAAGATATTCCATAAGAGCCCTTCTCGTCATGCTGATTTTGAAAATCTTACTCAAGCTCAGTCTTCAGAATATGCTCTACAGTTCTGTAGCCATGGTTGTATTAAAAATGAAAAAGTAGCAAAGAGAGCGATGGAAATATGGCCCAAGATTGTTGTGATTATTGACTTTTGGAAAAATTTACTATAAAACAAGCAACCTGGTCAATGTAAGCCTGGGTAAAACACTAGTTATGAATATTTTTTCATGCTATAAAGATGTGTTAGTCTCTATAAAGTTGCAATTTTTTAAGGAAACTGCAAAACTGTTAAATTCTTTCTTGTTAGTTTTCCAAATCGACAATCTTATGACACCTTTTCTTGTGGAAACACTTTAGAGTTTACTGAGGCTGTTTTTACCTAAATTTATCAAAAAAGAAATTTTGGCTGAAGCATCCACAACTTTTAAATTTTTATAAGTTGATATCAGTGATGTTAAAAATCAAGTGTTGGTCGCAAATATTAATCTTGGGTTTGGAATAAAATATAAGTTGCAGCAACTGAAATCTAGAAAAAAAGAACTTCTGTTTAAAAATCTACAATTTTCAAACAGAAGTTCAACAATTTTTAGTTACAATGTGCAAACATATGGTTGAAAAAAGTGCTCTAAACTCATAATTTGCCCGATACGTGTTATGTTTATCACCTTTTTACTTGGTGGAATCTCATGAGATGTGTGAACTTTTTATTGACAAGTTTTTGCTGAAATTAGTTGCTTATAAAAAGGTATCATCTTCAGCTGCTGATTAAGTCAAATTGCAGTATTCAGAATTTTTAACTAATGTTGTGAAAATGAACAAGGAAAAAATTCTTGGGTTCAAAAAAGAAAGTGATAGATTCTTTTTTGGTTCAATATACAGATGCTTCAAGATTCAAGGACTTAATGAAAATTTACCAATTGTTACTAATTTTTTCCCATGGCCAAGCACAAGTAGAGCGTGGATTTAGTATAAATGACCAACTTCTGGATAATAATATACTAACTGATACTCTTGTTGCATAGAACATGTGGTCATTGTACATGACCACATGTTCAGTGAAAATATAAAATCATCCTAATTGGCTATGACATCTAAACTTATAGAACATATATTTATTGTTTGTTACTTAGTCATAAAGTCATCTATTTAGTGAAATGTTAAATTTGTTAAAATTCTAATGCAAGTATGAATTTGATTTATTTCAAGTTAATATTTTTGTATGTGTAGAGATTATTTCAAATAACAGTATTTGGGCTCTAATTTTATTTTAATTATTTTAGCTAGGAATTATTACAGTTCTTAAATAAAAAGAAAATTTTTTAGTGCCACTTTATTTTTGAAATCCTTCTAAAATCTCCTAAGATTTTTATCCTTTTTTTTTTCAAATTTCCCGATAAATAACCTTAAAAACCTTTTAAAATCTCCTAAATCATCCTAATTTTTTCAGACAAAAAAAATGTGGCCACCCTGTATATATATATATATATATATATATATATATATATATATATATATATATATATATATATATATATATATATATACATACATACATATTAACTATTGCCTTGCCTAAGCAATATGACATCATACTGAAATATATAACTGCGAGGGCTTCAGTACATATATTGGCTGACCAGCTAGGAAGAACACGCAAGGGAGTGCTGTCGCATTGACTAGGGGATTGGGTTGCAGCAGCAATATTTATTTTCTTTTGAAAAAAAACACAATTTAAGTAAGCAAAGAATGTTGGTAAATGTATATCTTTATACACCATATTAGATGTTTTTAAAGATGAATGAGAGAAAAAAGTATCGTGTTCAGCATTACGTTGTTAATTATGATTATTATGTTGATCATGGTTAAAATAAATCTCTGATGGTTTTTCATGTTTTAGAGCTTGTTTACATTTGCATGAACTTGTTCAATGTCGTTGGGTGGAAGATGTAACTGAGGTAAATATTTATTAAAATGTCTTATAAATATGTTTTAGTATATACTGTTGTCATAAGCATAACAAGTATATTTGCACTTTTTTTGAAACTGATAATCTAGTTTTATTTAAAGCCGATAAATTTTTTTTTTTTAATTTTTTCCAATAAGTTTTTAATTATTTTTGTTAAAAAAAGTTTTTTCAACATTGGTTTTTTTTTCAAACTTTTCCCAATGTCTTTAAAATATGCCTCAACTATTATCAGGTATTAGTCCTTACATACTTAAAAACTTCATTAGCTTTAATTTACCAAAAATCAATTGAAACAGGAAAAATTTCTAGCAAGTGGAAAAGAAGCAAATATTACGCCAATAATCAAAAATGGAAATACAACAGAACTGCTTATCTATAGACTAGTATCATCAACATCTATAACATGCAAAGTTATGAAAGTGTTCGTAAGAGAAGCGATAATGACTCATCTCTTGGAAATCAAATTGCTGTCAAAAAATCAACATAGCTTTGTAAAAAAAAAGACCTGTGTGATAATCTTGAGTAAAGGCTTAGCAGTAGATATGCTTTATATGGAATTTGCAAAAGCCTTTAATAAGTTCACATAAATGACTATTGAAAAAGTGTGAAGCTTATGGTATCAATTTATGGTACTACTTGACTGGATACTGTCTTTTTTAAAAGAAAGAAGGCAAAGAGTTGTGATGGGTGAATATGTCACCATAGCTTGAGATTTTTAGTAATGTTTCTTAGGGCTTTGTGCTTGGTCCATTTTTATTCTTGGTACTTGTAAACAATTTGTCATCAATTGTTAATTAGAATTATTAATTATACACAGATGACAGTAAACTAATTAAAGTTAAAAAAAATGTTGAAGATCTTTGCAGAATGACATCAATGTTTTTGTGAAATAGGTGTATATCTGGTTGACCAAGTTGAAAATTGAAAATTGCAAAGTGATGCATGTAGGTTAAAAGAATCCACAACTTAAAAAGATTTGACATAAAAAAGACTAAAAGCAAAGGGTTTAACAACATTTAAGAAAAGAAGAGCAAGAAGAGATTTGATACAAAAATACAGATTTGAGCAAAATATAGACCAAATAAGTTAGTACAAAAATCCACTATCTGCATCATCCTTGACTTGTTCAGGCCCAGCTTTTTCAGTGTGGGCCTGATAACAAATACAGGTTAGAAAGAGAAAACATACTATCATGTTTACTAAGATATAATTTCTTTATCAACCAAGTTAGTAATAATTGCACCTTGTTACCAAATGAAATCGTAGAAGCAAGATTGCTGAATGTTTTCAAAGCCAGAATAGATAATTTTGATAATTTGTGTTTAAATTCTGTGGGCTGTCTGTAACACGATGTTTGCATTGTGTTCCACAATTTGTTTTATTTTTTAAGTGTTCTATTATATTTGAAAAAATTGTAATTGTTACAGCAATAAATATAACTATTACTATTACTAAACATAACAAAAATATTGGTATATGTGTGAATATTAAGGATGTACCGAAATTTCGTTCTGGCCGAAGTTCTTGAATATTAGATCGCCAGAATTTATTTTAAACTTTATTTTATAAGATATGTAACACTGACTGTGTAAATTATATAGAAAAAATATTGTCTTACAGGGCAATGAAGAACTATAGGTAAACCTAAGTAAAAAATACAAAATTCTTAACAAATACTATGTAATTGCATTTTCTTTTTTTTTAATAATTTTTATTTAAAAAAAAATTATAAGAAACAAATAAAAACAAAATATTAGATTTAAATGAAATAGGTTTATATATATATATATATATAATATATATATATATATATATATATATATATATATATATATATATATATATATATATATATATATATATATATATATATATATATATATATTATAGGTTATAAATATATATTATGTATATAAATATATAATATGTAGGCTCTATGCTTAGGTGCAGGCTTTCACTTTTAGTAAAAAATTGGATAAGGAGTCGTTTAAAAAATATGTACGCTTATTATTTCAACATCCCCTCCCCCGCCTCCAATGCATTTTGCTATACACTTTTTTGAGTATCCCTCACCTTCCTAAAATTACCTATGCTTTTAACCTACCTGCCTTTTATTTTATGATTTTTTTTTTCATTTTAGTGTCAAATTTCAATTTACTTTTATAATTTTTCCAGCCTTCCATCTCATATACACCATTTGCAGACCTCCTCTTCCCATTAGAGCACATGTATCTTATGGACGATCCCTAAGTTTAATTTATGTTCTGGCCGGAATTTTTTTAACAATTCCAGCAAATCTGGTTCTGGTCGAAATTCAAAATTTCCAATCTGGTACACCCCTAGTGAATATACACTGTTTACATAAAAATACAAAGTTTAACCTAAAATAAGCCATTCTTTAGGTTAAACAGAATGAGATTTCTCTTTGCAGCTTTCAATAGCATTTAATTATTTTTCATTGCACCTTCAACTCATTGGTGAAATGAATTGGCAGGTGTGTAGATTTGCCTGGAATCAAAATCAAATACTTTTAATTCCTTGATTTTGGTTTTTGCTGAATTGATTATGAAAGAAAAATAACAAAGAAAAAGCCAATGTTTGCTTTGACTGCTGCAATTATCAGTTATATAGTAAAAAATTTATGTAACGCTTAAACTCTATAAATAACATATGTGTTGAAACCATATATATTGCTAAGACCAACCATTAGTTGCTGAGTGCCAAGGCACAGTAAATATGTTATTGTAAATACATATAAAAAAAGGATTAGTAATGAATTACAAAGTATAGAAGGAGTTACATAAGTGTTGAAATCTAAGATATTTATGTAAGTATTGGAGCAAACAGTTGCCAGTGAGTGTCAAGGCTAGTTGCTGGTGAGTGTCAAGGTAATGTATATAATAATAGTTGTATCTTGTCTATTATCGGAATGATTTGATATTCTTTTACAAATAATATACTAATTATAGCTTCAAATGTATTTATTCAAGAAAGCATGATTACTTTTTGCAACTTTGGAAATTTTTTGAATCTTCATCCCTATCCATTTTAGTATATCTTTGATTAAAGCTCATTAGCAAGTTAATTGTTATGACTCTATTCCTAACATAATTTCTAATTTTCCCCAACATGGTTTTAGTTTACCATTAAATGTAATTTGTAGATTTAATATTACTTACATTCTTTTTCTCCTAAACTAGCAAGTAAATATTTTTAACTGTTAAAAGCAACTATAAGAACAAGAAATTTGGTTCCAAAAATTTTTTATGCATTAATAACTTTAAAGTTGCTAGGATGGTGCATAATTCCTGTGATAATGAGAAATTTGTAATAGCCAAATATTTCTTCATGTTCCAATTATTGTTGGGATGATTAAAAATCGTTCATATTTTCTTATTTTTTCTTGTATATCTTCAATTCTATTGCTATTTCTTTCCTTGGTTCCTTTCCTTGATTTTTCTACTTTCCTTTGCTATTCCTTTCCTTAGTTTCCTTACCTTAGTTTTCCTACTTCCCATTGCTATTTAATTCCTTAAGTTATTTTAGTTAGGGTATAAGAATGTATTATGATTGTATGAATTTATTGTAGTTTAAAATAATTACTTTGTATATAGCAAATAGACAACTTGCAAACAACACAATTGAGCACAAGCAAAGAACAACAAGAAAATAAAGATAGGTAATAATATCATATTAGGAGTTTAGAAAATATTCTCATTTGTTTATTTTCTTTTTTAGTCTTGTGTTGGCAAATTATTTCTGAAACTTTTCTTATTCAAAATCATTTTTACATTTATTGTGCTTTGTGTTTTTTAAATAATGTGATATGGGTATATTTAATCTTTTTTAATTTTTTGGTATTTTAAAAGTATTGCTGATTTTAATACATGAGTTTTAACTTATTTGCTATTTTTGATTTATAAATATTACTTCAGTAGTATAATATATTATACTATGTTCAGAAAGGTTTGTAGAATCACCTATAAAAATAAAAAAAAAGCATTTCGTAATTTTATTATATTAAATTTTTAAATTAATGTCAATGATTTGTTTTATACAAGTAACATTTTACTTTCCGTTTAACTCTTTTTTCAAATGTTTTTTTATATATATATTTTTTCGTATATTTTAAAGTTGCTTTGATATGTGGTGTTTTTGACTTTCCAAATCAGTATAGTATAGATCAAATCACTAATAAGTAAAGTCATTGAAGATTCTTTGTTAAAGATAAAGCTTTAATAAAGCTAATTTTTGCAAGTATGGTGGGTGGTGGATTATTGTGTGTCCGACTTGGTTACAACTATCTGTGCACTGCTTTGATTTAGAGGTTATAAGTTGACCTAAAATGTACTCAAGATGTTTCAAAAGATAGCAATACTTTAAGTGTGCATGAGATGGTTCCATTTAAAACAAAATAAAAAGCGTTTCTTTTTGGGATTAATACACTTTTTTGGGAGAAAAAAAAGCGTACATACTTTATGGACTAAATTGCTGCTCTCACGTTTAGGGCAGAGGAGCAAAACTTTTTAGTTTTTTTGCCCCCAAAACTTTTTAGTTTTTTTGCAAACATTTTTTATTCGTGATTAATTCTTATATTTGCAATAGTGCAATATTTTTCAAATATATTAAGTTATTTACATCCTCATACTTGAGTAGGTTATGGCTATTTCACAAAGCTTTTCCCCATGGTATTTGCTCAGCTCCAAAGTTGCAAATCTTTTTATTGATATTTTTGTGAATAGTTTCACAGCTTTGCTCATTGAAAATTCCTAAGGGTTTGTTTTTTCTTTCAAGAAACAAGAAAAAGGTTTAAATGATGTGAAATTTCCAATCTAGGCAAATCTTATGTGTTGTGTATTCTATCTAAATTCTATCTAGATGCAAGTTGCATATTTCAGAGACAAAATGCTGAATATCTCTGTTGAAATTAAGAGAAAGCGTCATTCTAAAACATCCTTCTGTCACTAAAATGAACAAGTTTAAAGAAATTATGTTTATAAAAACTAATAAATGTTGTATAAACTTTAGGTGAAAAAGAATTAGCTAATTACATATCCTTTTTGAGTTTCCTTAAAATCCCAATACAAGGTATTATCATGAGAGAAGTTATAAGTTCATCCAAATAAGTAAAAACTTTTTGACAGTTAGGTCCATCAAATCCTCCTTCATTACTTAACCACGCCTCATTACTGTTTTACTAATTAAGAATTTTTTAGTTGAGTCTTCGTCTATGAGAACATGTGTTATGTGTGTAACAATATGTTCAAATAAATGTAATTCATGAGGTGGAACTATATCAAGAGTTTCAACAAGAGTTTCTCCAGACTCCTCAACTAGGCATTATTGAACAACATTTTTATAATTTTTCATATCCTTATAAAGTTCACCATCCTCTAATACCTATTAGTGAAACTTTAAAAAGTTCTAAACTTCCCTTTTTTTTTTTTTTTTTTCCTTTACAGTAACAGCAAGCATACTTTCACCAGTACAAGCATACTTTCACCAGCTTTTTAGTGTTAGGATTAAAAAAGACTATAAATATAAAGTTAAATATTGATAAAATAATAACAAGCAATTACTTTTTATAAATTATAATGCAATTACACAATGTAATTAAAGTTTAAATTACAGAAATGCCTTGTAAACAATCGAGCTGTCAGGTGCTACTATATAATTTAGCTCATTTAGCTTAAATAACTTAATAATCTTCTCCAAATTACTTTATTGTACTCTACATACAAGACCCGAAATAAGAACTGTATTGACCCCTGTATTTTTCATGTTTACTTTCTCTGATTGTAGCTCTCCTGGGTTGAAGATTTTCATTATGAGTTTTAATGAACCTTCACCCCCATCAATACCAACTTTTTTTTTTTTAAATAATTGTAGGGATTAAGTTTTCTGTGTACTCAAATTTTTTTTATTAGTTTCTATGACTCTGGAACAAATACTACATAACATCTTTCTGAAATTAAGTTCATCTACACAACTGTTACCTCCACGACCCAAATCTTTACGAATCTCAGTCATTATATAATCTATTGCTGACTTAGAAAGATCTATTTTCTTTTTTATAGTAAATAATGTATCTGAAGATATTTCTAAAATAGGTTTATGCACATCTTTAGAGTATAGAGAAACATGAAGAGTTTTACCACCTACAAAATATATATTTTTTAAGACAAATGTTTGACTTTGATAATAGATGTAGATAGAAAGAAAAATATATTTAATTATAATTATAATTTTGTATGGTTTTGCTCATAATTTTTAGCATATTTATATTTTTAAAGAAAAAGTTTTAACTGATGACTATAAAATTCATTTTAACTTGTTTTAAAATATTTAAACTTTTTTTTTATTAACAAATATATAACATTTTTAGTAATCAAAACATAATGAATAATGTCTTTAAAAGATTTTAAATTAAATATTTAATTTTGTACATTACCTAAAAGTCTTACCTAGTTTAGTCTTAGTTATCAAGTTTTACTTTAGTCTTACTTTAGTCTTACTTACCCAGTTTAAAATTATTTGCCAAGTTTAGTCTTGCTTATTATTACTTATCAGCTTACCTACTTAGTTTAGAGTTACTTAGTATCAAAAACTATAATTAAAACCATAACATAAGTTTAAAAAGTATATTTATAAATTCATTCAATTCAACTCATTTACCTACAGTTAATTCTTTATTTCTTACTATCTTTTAATACAGAGGAGATAACTTGTTGGCAGGTTTTTGAGTCTTAAGAAAGAAGGAGTTCATGTAGACTTTGCACTATTGCAGATTTTGTGCAAGGATGTCTGATACCTTTACCTACCCTTTTGGCAGCAATCTGTCCAAAAAGATTATTTAAATCTGAGGTCTCAGGCTCTTTACTAAAATCCTCAATAAATTCAGAAAGATTGATTTTTAATGACATCTTTTCTCTTTTGCAATACAGCAAATAGGTCAAGCAAATGAGATATAGACCAATATCCTTTTATCTAACTAGTCTCCGTAGTAATCTTCTTCCAGTTTTCCACAAATTTTTTCTATTTTTTAAGAAATAAATCCTTCATTCTAAAATTGTTTAATATAGTATTTTAAATACATTTATATATATTTACATTTTTATGTATTATAAATAACTTTTGTTTAACATTTTTTAAATGAAGACATTTTTTATATGTTGAACAAACTCCTAATTGTAAAAAATTGATTTCCAAACTAAGCCCTGGATCCACATATAGAATAATGATTTCTGGTAGAGCTGGGTTATTCTCTAGTTAATGACATTTTACGTGTTTATTAAGACTGCAAAAACAAACTATATTCCTGTTTTCTTTATAAAACTTTTTTATATACTTAAGGCAGGTTTGGGTTCTGCATTTTTGGCGTTTGAGAAAGTTAACTTGCAGACATAAGGTAAACTCAATACATTTGTATGTTTATGTCAAATAAAGATGTTTTGCAAAATATTGTGTTTATTGGAGTCTGGGAACAAAAAAAACCCAAACATTTTGCCCTCCTGCCCCAAATGTAGGAGCAACGAGTTAACAAATTATTTTTTTTTTTACTATTCATAACCAAATTCATTTTTAATAAAAAATTTCAAATTTCGCGCAATGATTTCTTAGTGTTCAAAAAAAATGACAATTTGAAGTTTCAACACCCCTCAATTTGAAGGGGTTACAAATTTAATATTGCCATAATTCTAGAACACTGAAAGATATTTACATAAAATTTGAAGTTTTTAAAATAATATGATTTTAGTTAAGGTTAGTAAAAAAAAAATTTATAACTTGTTGCTCTCAACTTTAGAGCAGGAGGAAATTATTGAAGGGTTTTCTTGTTCCCAGGCCCCAATAATTTTGATATTTTTTCAAAATTTCCTTATCTTGACACAAATATAAACATACAAATGTTTGGAGTTTACTTTATGTTTTGAAGTTAGTATCTAAAACTACAAAAAAGCCTTGATCTCCCACTGAGTTAAAATTTCTTTTGTGGAGTGATTATTTAAAAAAGTACATAAATTCCAAAAAGGAACTTTTTTTTATTTTCTTTTCAATTGAATAAATCTTATCCACACTTAAAGTATTGTTTGAATTGAAGCAGTGTGTGACAATGTGTTTAGCAATTACTAGGAATGGTTCCCTTCCCCTTCCTTTTTTCATATAATCCAAATGAACGACTACTATTTAGAAGAAGTTGTAGAACATTTTTTGGGGCTCTAACCTGTTGTGTCTTACTATAGTTCTTGGACTTACACCTACTCATCTAGCATAAGCTGATTTGCATCCATCTTGTCTTAAATAAAACCATGATTCACCCCCTATATTAACTTTTTTTAAATCTTTTATTATGATATTCACTTGTTATTAGTTGTATATATGTATCGTCTTTGAGACTCTCTCTACCATCTTTAAATAGAGTAGCCTGTTTGGCAACTGTACTTTATTTTCATTTCAATTTCAGTGTATATGCCTGAGTTTCAATTATTTCTGTTTTTTAAAAATTTCAACAAGTATTTAAAACATTCATAATTAAGTACAGTTTAAAGTGATATAGATATTTAATTATTTTCTTATTGTTTTAATAAAGTTATATGAATTTTTCTACTGATCTATGTATGTATATATTATATACTATTAGCAATCTCAGTAGAAGACAAAAAAAAAATGAACCCTTGCAAATAAATTACATTCTAATGCTGAAGTTGAAATGTTAATATCCTATTGCTGAAGTTTAATAATGACTTAATTGTAATTAGTATTTTTTCTAAAAACTCTTTTATTATTAATTTTGTTATTACTTTGTTTCTAGAAACTGTGCAACACATAATGAAAAGCTCAGTGTGTTTTGTGAAACATGTATGGCGTGCATATGTCATATGTGTGCACTTTGGGGAGGAAAGGTAAATGATTTTAAATTTTTTGTTTGAAGATTTATTGCAAATCTCTAGCTTGGATTAAAGTTTACTAGTAACTTTCTTATTTTGATATTCTTGAAAAGATTTTAATGACTCACCAAATAATCGGCTGAAATTTTGTATTCAGTATATCATTAAAACATTTAAAATAATAAGTATTTTAATAAATTTTATTAAGATATCAATGTTATAAAGTAAATAAGATAAATTTAAAATAGGTTTCAAATTTTTATGTATATTTTTAAGGACAAATAAAAAGTCAATTGTTGAACCTAGTATGCTGTCATGACAAAGTACTATAACTTTTGAACAGAAAATCATTTGTTGTAACCATTAGTTACAATTCTTATTGTTAATTTGTTTTGATTTTAGCAGGAAATTAAAATTTATAGTATTGTATTTTTGGTTGTGAAAATGTTTGCCATAAGATGTTGAATTTTTTAATTTAAAATCTATGACTTGCACAAAATACAAACAACTGGAGAAAAATGTTTTAATATTATGCAATAGTATTATGCAATAGTATTATGTGCATATTGACAATTGTGTTAGTTGTTTGTTTATTAAATTATTAAAAATTTGTTGACAGTTTAATCAGGGCTGATTTGCTTAAAACCTATTTTTGAGAAAAATAAAAAAAACTATTTCTATCTTTTAATATTAAATATACAGATTTTGTGTAATATATTTTTAAAAAATATATGCTAGAGTAACATCATAATACACTTTAATAGTTGTTATAACATTTCATTTG